AAATAGCTGCTTTAAATGATTATGCCCTCTGTCTATGGAAAACAAGGCAATTAGAGTTCACACTGAAGTTTGACAGAGGTTGCATTTAAAATATAATGTGAAAGTTCCCTCCAAAGAATCATATTTTTTTTTATCAGAATTGAGCATTAAGACCTGCAGTGTGAATGTAACTTAAAGACTGGTTTGTATTTCTTGTCACTTGGTCCCCCTGCTGAGTGACAAAAAAATTGAGTAACTTCCATCTGCTATCCCCCGGTGACAGCATTCGTGTGCATTGCCCCAGTAAGAACTCTGCACTGCAGAACTTGCGGCTCACAGTGTGTGATTGGTCAGAACTTTGTGGGCGTGGGAGCAATGCAACACCGTGGAGCAAGACCAGAGCAGGCCTCTGAGCAGCTCTTCTTTCTGCATGCCGTTTTGTTATAAATGATCTTTTCTCTGAAGCTGATTGTTAATTTTAACAAGATAAACAGATTTGATGAGCAGCTGGTTTGATCCTACTGAAAGTGTGAGCGTGCATCTGGTGATTACGCCTTTTTTCCATCACCACCTTTAACAAGAACAAAGAAATCAATTTTTCCCCTTTTTGGACTCTTTATCCAACACAACATTGATTATTGAGTGGGAAAAAAGTGTTGTTTAAAAGCTCATTTATGAGCTGTGTTACATTGGAAATGCTGTCGCAGGACAGAAAGAGAAATTAAGATAATGTTTTCACATTGCGTCTATGGGGGTACCAAATTCACACAATTACTGCCCCGCTGTCTCACGTCATAATGAAGTGTAATCCAAGTTTAAGATAGATAACCTGTGAAAAAATAAAGCTTCTCTGGCTCCTCCCAGTGCCATTTGTGGAAATACACCGCTCCTAGTCAGAAACAACCAATCAGAGCCAGGAGGATTGTCTTACCAGTGTCAAATATGCTTGTGTTTGCACTGCTCATGCCGTACCACCTAGCACCCTCGTTCAAGCTGAAGATTACTGTTGTGCTGCACATAATATTAAGGACAAATACACAATATCTTCACCAGGGGAGAGATCTAATCTATAAGACATGCTTGTTTAAATTTTCAGGCTAATGCCGAATGTGTTTCACTAAAACTGGTTTAAACTGAATAAATTGTCATTAAGCTTGGATAAAACTAATTACATGAGTTAATAGAAAGAGAATTGTTGATGTTCCATTGAGAGATGATGGTGTTGTGATCTGTAGAGTCAGTGAGGTGAAGTTTTTGGATGTCATTATCGATAAAAATCTGACGTGGAAATCTCACAAAAATCATTTAAAACAAAAATATCCAAATCCATTGCAGAATTACAAAACATAAAGAACTTATTTAATGATAAAGCTCTGTTTATGTTGTGTAATGCAATAACTGTTCCTCACTTGATCTACTGTGTTGAAGTCTGGGGTACAGTGTGCAAAAAAATCACAAATTTTATATTTATTTTACAGAAAGGAGACATAAGAATTATCACCAGAAAACATTACTGTCACCTATTCAATTTTCTAAATTGAAAGTATTAAAATTGTATAAGTTGTTTGATTATAATATCTTGCAGATTATGTATAAGGCTCATATTTTTTTAACCTTTAAACATCCAGTTATATTTTGTTAAGAGAGAAAGTTTATATAAGCTTAAGGGACTTTCGATGTTTACAAAACCTAAAATTCGAACAAATTTGAAGGATCGATGTAATTCAGTTCAACGAATGACGTTGTGGAATAATCTGGAAAGTGATTATAAAAATGTTGGTTCAATGTGTTTGTTTAAAAGAATGGTAAAAATAAATGTGTTACAGAAATATGAAATTGTATAATGCATATCAAACGTTGCTGTTTGAAAAGGAATTGATGTTTTTATTTTGATTTGTTTCTTGATTATTATTGCTTGAAATTAATTTTGGGAAAAAAGGGCAGATATAAGATTTTTTCTTCTTTCTGCCTCCTTTCATTTTAAGTGTGATTTTTTTTTTGTTGTAATGTATATTTTTTATTTTTATGTTTAAATGAAATGAATAAATGAATTGAACTAAACTAAATAATTAAAAATCTGCTAAAGTTTAATTTCAAAACTAGGTGAGTGTTTAGGAACCATCAAACGAACAAGGACACATCTTCATAATCTTATAAAATATACACATTTCTAGTTTACCAGTAGCCACAATGTTGTCTGAAACATAAATATTTAAATGTTTTAGTAACACTGTAAGCATTATTCTTGATGATATAATGGCAATTGTCATTTAACTTTTTTTACATAAAATGTTTTCTGTTACCTCTTTTAGCTGTATCACCTCAGTTCTGCCTTTAAAACATAACCAATCAGAGACACAAACTGCATCAGTGTGTGCGATTTAGTAAAATATAGAAACATTTTTTTCTGTTTTATTTATTTTCTTGCACCTGGCATTTGATGGGCTCCATACAGAAGAATCCTTTGTTGGTAATTGAAATAAAACTGCAAATGGGGGCGTTTAAACCGGAATCGGAAGTAGGCCAATCAAAGCAAAGTGAGATGCATTACAACATGACACTAAAAACCTCTCAAGCAAACAACAACTAGTGATGGAAAAATAATAAAGACCTCGTTTATTTTTTATAAATGGCATAGCTGTTCTAGAGCACTGCTGGATGGGATTAAGCAGATTTAAATGAACTCAACATTATGAACAGGAAACTGAATTACCCCAAGACAAACACTGCTCCCATACTGACCTCACACTTCCTGGCCACATGTTTACTGTTAGATTGAGGCAGTTTTGTTGAGCACAACTTTAATGCAGGAAACCAATGAGTGTCTTACTGTAAAATTGCAGGTTCAGCATGACGTAGTTAAATGTAATCTGAATTTATGTGGAGTGACTCACATCATGCTCTATTGTCACTTCTTCAAGAAAATAGTCATTGTTAAGGAAAAATATTGAAACAGCATGAACATTATTATTATTTCACCTTTTATCCTAATCTGTTTTAAGCATGAGAACATTTGCATATACAAAATATGTTCCACACATCTCCTGCTTGTTCTTAAAAAGATGCAAAGAACAAATTTGTATGTGTCATCGCTCCATGTTGTTTCATGTGACAGAAAACATGAAAGCAGTTGAGACATAACATGAAGTCTGCTGAGTAAAGATAAAGGATATTTGTCTTGGGTGAATCTGGTGTTTGTTGAGTTTGGTCTTTCAGAAACCTGACCTTGTCTCGTGCAGCTGGTAAGTCTCATTTTCATAAGGGAGTGTGTGATGCTTGCTGGCTGCGTGTTGAGTCAGCTTCCCTCGCCTGCCTCCTTTACCAGAAGTCGTTGTTTTAGGAACCTACTCTGCTGCATGGACTTCCGCTGTTAGTTTCGCCGTTTCAGCCAGCTGAGCCAAACAGTTTCTTGTTCCTAAAGAGTGGTGGTTACAAAAAGGGGTTCCCTAAAAAAACTGCAAAAGTCAAAGAATTGGTGCAGTGATTAAAAGAGAAATTTAAAGACAGAGACTTAGAGATTTGTGTATCTGGTTAAAGTGCACACAAAAAAAATGCTGTTTAGTCATTTTCTTAAGCTTAATCAATAATTATATTATTTTGCATCCATTTGTAATCATCTATCACCATTAAAGCCACTACAGCTACATTTTCTACTTATAATCATGTTTAAAGTTAGCATGATTTCTTACAGTCTTCCTTATGCATCCCCTCTTGGTGTGTCATGCCCCACAATGGGCTCCTGACCCCAACTTTGGGAACCACTAATCATATTGTACAGTAACAGGAACACATGCAGGATTGTTGGTTGTAATCAGAAGTATCAGCGACACCTAAAAACACCTTCAAGTCTTTTCTTCATCACACAAAACATTTGATTTTGTACTTATTCTCTCATTGTTCTTAATGGTGAAAATTAAATAATTCTCATTTCCTCATTTCAGTATCCCTTTATGTGTCACTGTGGAGGAAACTGAAACGTTTGTTTATGAAATTAATTATGTTATTGGCCTTTTCAGTAAGCGCAAGGTTTTACATGTTTACAGTGGTTTGCAAAAGTATTCATACCCCTTGAACTTTTCCATATTTTGTCACATTACAACCACAAACATAAATATATTTCACTGGAATTTAATGTGAAAGACCAACACAAAGTGGTATACAATTGTGAAGTGGAAGCAAAATTTTACATGAATCAAAACATTTTTTACAAATAAAAAACTGAAAAGTGCGACGTGCAAAAGTATTCAGCCCCCTTTTCCCTGAGTGCAACCAATTGCATTCAGAAGTTGCCTGATGACTGCTAATGACTCAAAAGGGTCCACCTGTGTGTAATCTAATCTCAGTACAAATACAGCTGCTCCGTGACGGCCTCAGATGTTGGTTAAGAGAATATTGGGGAGCAAACAGCATCATGAAGTCCAAAGAACACACCAGACAGGTTAGGAATATGG